ATAATCTTCAGCAGAATGTTGCTTGCATATGAAATCAGTGATACTGTTCTGTAGTTTCCACACTCTGTTGGGTCACCCTTCTTTGGAATGGGAACAAATACAGATCTCTTCCAGTCAGTTGACCAAACGGTTGTTCTCCAGTTTTTCTGGCACAACTTGGTGAGCACGTCCAGGGCAGCATCTGTTAGCTGAAATTTGTCTTGGTATACCATCTATACCAGGTTCTTCAAAGCAGCCTGAACTTCTTCCTTCATCACCATAGGCTCTTGGTCATAATGTTGTGAGGCAGAGAAAAAGATGTGTTCTCCTGAGGCATTAAAAAAACACCCCAACAACCGACAAAAACACTGCAGTCTCTGCTTCAGCTTTCTCTTTCATGCTCCTGCCATGTAATCTGTGTTCCACTGTAGTCACATGAGCTTTTAATTGTTCAGCAATGTTTTCAGTCAGCCATGTGCTAATACCATCCCCATCATTTTCTGGGTATAGTTCCTTTTCTACTTGGAAAATTCCTACTTCATTATCATTTTAGGAAGGGAAGGAGTTTAACATGTGCTCTTGCTCACTGATGTGAAACAGAGTTGCCTGCTCTTGTCAGGTGCTGTCATAGCAAGCCTGTACACAGCAGAGCGAGACCCTGCCTGAGAACTCCCTAGACCTTTCAACACTTGGGTTGTGTTAGGCGCCATCAAGTCTGCTTTCATCTCAGCAATTCCTGTGACTTCTTAACAGTAGAACTGCTCTAGTGGGTTTTCTAGTGTGTCATTTTTATGGGAACAGATCGATAGATGTTTCTCCCACAGAGCCTCTGGGAGCACTTAGGCTTTGCACCTCTGTCAGATTCCCAAGGCTGTAAATCACAGTAGTGGAGATTGCCCCTCTTTCTCCTGCCGAGCCACTGATGGAGATGAACCACCAGAAAGGCAGGCACTGCCTGTGGGTTGGAGGCTCGACTCTCTGAATTACGCCATCACTCACTCATTGCTGTTACTTAGGACTACTCATTAGTGAGTTTTCAGAAGCTGTAAATCACATGGCAACAGATTGCCTATCTTTCTCTCAAGGAAGGACTGGTTGACTCGAGCCACCTGCCTTTGGGATGGCAGTGCAACTCCTTACCTCTTAGGCTAAGGGGGAATAAATAAATTATCTTGTGGTGTTTCAGAAGTCTTTCCCTATGTCCAAGTTGGGTGTAGCCACTTTTATAAAGTTCTGTGAGGTTTTTGTATTGTTCAAAAGGTATGCATCTGACAAAAAGATATCTCAGCAAATTTTCCCCCTGATCTTTGATGTTTTAATATTACAGCAGAATTCCATTTAGAGCAGTAATTTGTTAAAAATTTGTAGGAAGATCTTCCCCAAGTTTATCCAGGAGATGGAGCTGCTGTCTAAGAAGGCTGATTGTGGTATTTCTTCTCCAGAGCATACCATCACCTCGCAATTATTTTTATTAATGAAATAAAACAGGACACATAATCCACAAATGCCTGCTTTCTTTTGATGATTTCCTTTAAAATACTCAGTTGTGGCAGTTCTCTTGATCACTAGGGACCCCACTGGAACTTTCTCAAGACAGATCAGTTCAGCCTGCACCACTGCAGATCCTGGTTCAGTTGGGGATGAGTGTGGCTGTCTGATTTTTCAAGGTCCATAAGAGAGTGCGACTCAGTGGTGAAGTCAACATTGTAGAGCCTACGGGGGCTTTAAGAGCATTTGAGAATTTGTTAAGGGGGTTTAAGAGCATTTGAAAATTTGTTAAACAACAACAGTTTCATTGTTGTCATTTGCTTACGGTGTAGACCAAAATTTCAGAGCATGCTGTAGTTTTTTTATGATGTATCTTAGATTCTTTTACGTTTATTTTGAAGCACATGCGCCTTTAATTTTATTTTTTTTTTCCTCTCTGCTAGTGACTAAAAGAGCAAACAATAGAAAAGTAATATTTTGGCTGGAAGATACACATTTATGTAACCTTGCAAATATTTCTACATGGATATTTCCTTGCTATCTCACAAAAATCGTATAGGGTAAAGGGGACAAATGTTTCTCTCAGGAAAAAACGGATTAGATGAGTGGCTTGAAATCAGTATTTAGAGAAGAGACTTAACTAGTAGAGCTAGGACTGTTGGGCTTCAGAGCACATTATCATTTCTATAGCAGTTTTGTCTTATTTATACTATTCATAAGTTTAAATTTGCCACACACATGCTTGATGATGGTGGGCAGAGCAGTGAGAAATATTCTGGAAGATGGCATAAAGCTATAAATAATTCACAAAATGTTTGCTTAAAACTGATTCTACAAATATACTCAGCTATAGGAAAACACTGATTTTTAGACTGGAACATCTTTTATCTGCTCAGTTCTTACACAGTCTTTAAGACATGGCAGACATTAGAATTTTTCTTATTTTCTATCAAAAAATCAGTTTAAAAAGATACCTTTCTTTTAAATATCAAGGTTTTGTAACTCATGATTTGGAATCCAATCAGAAGCAAGTAATCACTTGCTTAACAGATTGTATTCTGTAAGTGATTTTCTTTGGCTTGCAGCTTGATGATCTAGAGTTTAACAGGTGTTCCTATAGATAAAGTATTCTAAAGTGAAGTCTATAGGATGAGTCAGAAGACACATAAGCATTAGCTATTAGTAGTACATTAACTAACCACCTTCAGTATGAATTGTTTTCTTGTTGGTATAGTACATAAGGAGTTGCACTGCTAACCCAAAGGTAGTTCCTCTTGTGGTTCGAATCCACCAGCAGCCACATGGGAGAAAGATGGGAAATCTTCTCCTATGTGATTGGCAGACTCTCAAAAATCAGCTAGAAGTTCAGCTGTGAGTCACTTCCAATGCGATGGTGATAAGTTTTGGGGGATAAGCCTTCTAGTAGGCCAATTGGCAGCATCAGTATGGATGGTGAAGAGATTGAGATAGTTAACAGTTTTAGTTTACTTGGCTACACAATCAACACTCTTGGTAACAGCAGCCAGGAAATCAAGACATGAATTGCATTGGGAAAGTTGGCTGTGAGGGACCTCTCAAGAGTACTGAAGAGCAGTGACGTCAGATGGAGACTAAGGTGCGCCTGATCTGGGCTGTAGTCTTCGCAATAACGTGCTGTGCATCAGAGAGTTGGACAGTGAATAGGGTTGATAGAAAGAGAATTGATGCCTTTGAGCTGTGATGCTGGAGAAGAGTGTTGAATATACCATGGACTGCTAGGAGTACAAACAGGTTTGTCCTGGAGAGAGTGAAGCCAGAGTGTTCCCTGGAGTCAAGGATTCTGAAGCTTCGTCTGACATACTTTGGGCATGTTGCAAGGAGGGACTGGTCCTTGGAGAGGGACATCATATCATGTTTGGCATAGTGGAGGGGCGGCGAAGGAGAGGAAGACCTTAGATGAGATGGATCGATTCTGTGACTGGAGCGGTGGGAATAAATGTATTTGAGACGGCGAGGTTGGCACAGGATAGAATAGCATTTAGAGCTCTTGTACATAGGGTCACTATGAGTCGCAAGCAACTTGATGGCACATAACAACAACAGTAGTACCTGAAGGTATCTCTCACCAGCTATTCCGCAGATAAGGAAAAGATTAATGATTATAATGAGGAGCCACTAACTAGGGCTTGTTGGGATCAGGCTACTGTGGAATGGCAGAGAGAGTTACGTAGATGTTTCAGGAGCTTCTGAGCGAGTTATTTCAATTTAAGATTTAGAACCGCTGAACTGAGCAAATGAATTCAAGTTAGAGCAGTGATCTCTCTCAGTGATAGGTGCATCCTATCAGTTTACAGATATTTAGCTTCCTTCCCCCAATATATGTATGTATGTTTAGTTTTATGTAAATTGTTTTCATGTCTGTGATGAATATCCCATAGGCTGCCGTAAAACCATCTTGGAAGAAGGGCAGTCTGAGTGCCCCTTAGAAGCAAGATGGTAAGGCTTCTTATCTCACATGCTTTGGCCATGTGATCAGGAGGGACCAGTCCTCAGAAAAGGACATCGTGCATGGAGCAACAGAGGGTCAGTGAAATAGAGAAGACCCTCATGGGGATGCACAGACACAATTGACAGCAGTGGACTCAAGCACTGCAGCGATCGGGCAAGGTTTTGGTTCTGTTCTCTGTAGACCGGGTGGCCATGGGGGAGAGCTCTCAGCATTTACAGCCACAGTTACACTAGGAGTCGGAAGGAACTGGATGGTCATGGATAGTATTAGTGGTGGTGGTATATTGTTGTTCTTATGCACCATCAAGTTGGAACTGGCCCACAGCTGACCATCCAGCAGATTTTCAGAGGCTGTAAATTTCATAGGATGAGGCTGCCCATCTTTCTTCTGTGGAGCAGCTAACTGGTGGATTTGAACTGCAGGCCTTCATATGGGCAGTGCAGCTCCTTACCACTAGACCACCATAGCTCCCCAGTAGTTTATAAGTCTCATAACTTAATATGCACATGAGCCTAAAACCAAGCCCATTGCTATTGAGTCGATTGTGACACTTTGCTATCCTTGGGGACAAAGTAGAATTGTGTCCTCAAGGTCATAAACCTTTATAAAAATAGACTGCCCCATTTTTCTCTGGTGAAGTGACTAGAGGTTTTAAACCACCAACCTTTCTTTCTATTAGCATTTAACCACTGTGTTACCAGGGCCCCTAATATACACATATACACAAAATACTTGGGGGAAAAAAGTGAATTAAAATATAGATGAACCTAGAAGTTCGCTTCTTCCTGCTCCTGAAATCTATGTCTTGTCCTTTGCAAAGGACTGTAAAGTGTGCTCCAGTATCTCAGATGACTGAAGAAAGTTTATCTCTAAAGACTGTAGTGTTTTTTAAGGGGTAGTCTGATTCCAGTGTTTCTCCATTACCTCGGGTGTATTTGCTGAAGTACAGACTCCCAGACCCTCCACAATGAATGCGAATCGATGGAGATGGACTTCGTAATCTCTTGTTCATTTTTTTTAGGATTGGCTTTCATGCAGGCCTTCATGTACATTATGTTTCATTAATGTACACTGTGTTATACAGTCAGTCATGTACATTGTGGTTTCTAATACTTAACAGGATTTTCACCCATGAGGTTGTTTATTGACATTGGCTCCCCTTTTCCTCTGGTGAGCCTGGCACCTTTGCATAATTTTTATTGTGAAGTGTCATCTTGTATTAAGTTGACATCCACAAAAGAAGCCCTGGTGGTGCAGTCATTAAAGTACTCCATGCTCACCTAAAGGTTGATTGTTTGATCCCATCTGTTCTATGGGAGAAAAACACGGCTTCTGCTTCTGTAAAAATGTACAGTCTTGGAAACCCAGGGGGGCAGTTGTGCTCTGTCCTTTAGTGTCACTATGTGTCATAATTGATTTGATGGCAGGTCTAGTCTTGACACCTGTCAAGACACTTTGGAGGGTATAGAGGCTTTCCCCCTTGCATAGTAAAAGCAAAAATAATGTGTGTATGAGGGGGCTTTCATGGCCTAGTGGCAAGAAGCTGCACTGCAATCCCTGAAGAATATGCTTCGAGGTCACCAGCTGCTCCACTGGAGAATGACGGACAGTCCCCTCCCATGCAATTAACTGCCTCTAAAAACCCACCGGAGGGTCAGCTCTGACTCGATGGTACACAACAACAACAATAATATGCATGGATGTACATTGGAGGTGGGAGGGGTTAAATCTTTATAGGTGTCCCTAACAAAACCAAAAATTAAGGACAACTGGTAGGAGTCATAAAAGCCCTCTAGTTTCCAGAAAAAAAACAACCCAAAAACCAAAACAACCTTTAAGGGCATGATTTAATCTTTTTAACAATTTAAAAAGTATTTCTTTATAATGTGAACATTAGCTCCTGTTTCACTCTTTAGCACTTGGATAAATAGAAAGCTAAATTAAAAAAGAATTCCATTTGGGACATTTTAAGTTTGCAGTGCTAGAGGGAGCCAACTGGAGCTGCGCTTTGTAACTGAAAATTTATTATAATGTATGTGCTTAAACCAACACAAGAGATATTTTTAATTGGCCAGTGTTGTATAAGTCGTAAAGGAGGTGGAGGGAGGAACAATACCCAAGGGAAAGTAATGCAGTTTAGCTTTATTCTAGTGAAGAGCGTTAGCAGGCTTTTTAAAAAACATTAGCTTTTTTAGTGAAAAAACAATCTATGTTCATGACAGTCAATTCATTGGCATGCATTCAAAAGTAAACTGTCCTCCCACCTGTAACTCCCTCTCCCTTTTCTCCAGGGCCAACCTCTGCTAATAGTTTGTAAGTACTTTTCAGAGTTGGTGTTCACCTGAGATCCTGCCTTCTTTACCCTCTCCCTTCTCCGCTCCCCTCTTCCTGTCTTCCCTCCGGGATTGCTTCCTACCTACCTGCTTGCTTTTGGACCGACAGTATGTGTTGGAGAATGTTTCATAACAACACCATGTCAGAGCTCTGCCTCACTACACTTAAGAAGTCAGTGTAGTTCCTTGTACAAAGAGGCTATACTTACTTAAGAATTGAGTAATGTGTTGTCGTATGTAGTCCTTTGTCATTTGTATTGCAGTGATCATCCTTATAGTAATGCCCTTTGTAAGCTATGTCTCTCTACTTTTGGAATCTGCCAGCATTTATGAAGATGGTATATATAGCGTTGATGAACATTTGAGTCTGTTTGAATATTAAGTCACCTTGAGCTAAAAAAGTACTATCTTTTGGATACTTTATAGAAGTCTTTATGGACAGGTTTCAAGTATGTGTCAAGTGGTATGGGTGTTAAAATGTTTTCTGTTGCCAAGTGCCCTTTAAGACCCTGTGCTGATTTAAAGATACCCTCCCACGTCCCAGTGCCTGTTTATTTGTTTTCATACGAGCATTATGTTAATGAGTTCTTTTGTCTTTATTGTCTAATAGTTAAAAATTTTTAAAAAAAGGATGAACTGAAAATGAATTTGTTTTATTTTCTGTATAGAACCTTCAACCATTCTTATCTAGCTTTCAGTGACTTTGAGGTAGGCAGCTCTGACAGCTGAAATGAGTGGCTCTCTTGGCCATAACAACTTCACTTCCTAGGTTTACTGCGTTAACTAAGCTGCCTTAAGGGCAGACATCCCAGATAACGACTTGCTTCCCAAAGTGCCCAGTTAGCAGTGGGCATGACTGATGTAGAGTTTGGCATTGCTGCCACTGCTGACAGAGCCTGTTAAGTTATGTTGTTGTTGTTACGTGCTTTCGAGTCACTCGCAACTCATAGTTGATCCGCAAGTGATAGCATAACTTAGAACAACAAAAGAAATTTAAACTTGAAAAAGAAAAAAACCCCACATTTGGTATCATTTGATTTGTAACAACGCTGCCTTGAGTGATCTCAGTTCTTGCCACAGAAGTGCTTAGTAAGTAATTTGTAGATTAAATGGGCTGTGCGATACGTTTCGTTTGATTTTCTTTCTTGGTGGATTTCTGGAACAATCTGAAGTAAACTGCCAGGAACCAAATTTCACTCAGCAATCCTTCCTTATATAGCAGGTCATCTAATTAGAGGGCTTTATACCCTGCTTGTTGAGGATGTCTTGTCATGCCACTCACTGCAGGTGGATTACAATTAAACTGTTGACACCAAACTTGAAAGAAGAGCCAGGTAATTTACTTTACAGCAGCTCAGGTGTGTTTCAACCTGGAGCCATCATAACTCTCGTGGGGTGAACAGTTGAATTCATGTTTTGCCACATTAGGTTTGACCTTGTCGCCTACTCTTGTGTTGTTTTTCCTTTTGTCTTAAACTTTTTCCCCCCTTTCTTGACAGGCTGCTTGCACACATTTGGATGTGGATTTAGTCTGCATAACTGTAAAAGAGAAGCTACCATTTTACTTCAAAAGACCCCCTGTTAATGTGGTATGTTTTACATTTTACACTTTTCATTTCCTATTTGAACTTCTAGGAATTTGGCCTAACAATTTGGAAAAGAACTTGTTAGAGAACAAGCAGTGTTCTTATAAAAACAAAAGCTAGATAATAATAGTCAGTTTTACAACAGAGGACTTTGGTTTTATAAAGCTTAGCAAAAAAAAACAAAACAACAAACTGGTAAATTACCAGGATCTTTTGTTCTTAAAGGTTTTAGAATAACATTTACTGATGATATCTCTTAAAGAGGTTAGGTAGAGTCACACAATGGAATACTACACAGCATTAAAGAACAATGAAATATTCATAAAAGATGATAACATGGGAGAGTCTAGAACACATTATGTTGAGTGAAATAACTCAGTCACAAAAGGACAAATAGTGCCTAAGACCATTATTGTGAAAATAGGAGGGTAACTGAGCAAGGTAAGTGTAAATCTTTGAAAGGGGAAGGAGAAGAGAAGTAAGGGGATGGGCAAAGGAACGTGGGAGGAATCACTAGGGTAGGAAAGGTTAGTGTGTATATGAGGGGGCTGAAGGAATAGGAAGGATGCAATGGGTACTTGAAGAGGTGATAAAAGTCATAGATCAATAGTAACGCTATAAGACACAATGTATATGAATGATTGTATGCAAACCAGTTTAAAAAAAAGAGAGACTAATAATGATGGATACTTAAAGCATGAACGTGGGGGACCCAGTGGTAAGGAAGGAGGAAAAGAATGTGGAAGGTTCCTGAAACAGCAGCAAGGCGAGTGAGCGGGGCAGGAGACACAAGATGTAGGGCTGGCTCGTCAAAAATGACACTGCATTGAAGCATGCCGGCACGCTCAGAAACCCAGGACGACTTTGATAATGACCTGAGAGCTGCATGTGTCGGGGAACTCTGTGTGCCTCTCCCTGCTAGAAAATACTCCTTTGTTAGCATTCTTACATAACTTTCCCTCTCTTTTATCTGTTTCCATCATGCCTTCTTGTCAGTCTCGTTGCCTTCCCATTTCCATCATAAAGGTAGTACAGTTTTTACAGGAGTAAGATGGGAAATCTCTTACACAGGGGCTGTGTATGCCTCAGAAAACCTGGTCGGGGGTCAGCTATGAGTCAGTTCTGAGTTGATGGTACGTAACAACAAGGCTAGACTATGAACAGGGATCTCTGGTGGTGCAGTGGTAAGGCGTTGGTTGCACTTGCCAATCCAAAGACCTGTGGTTCTAATTGACTGGGTTCTCGACGAGAGAAAGATGCACAGACCGTCTCCTTCTGTGTGATTTACAGCCTCTGACAACCTGCTGGAGAGTCATCTGTGAGTCCATTCTGACTCGATAGCACTTTACAGAAACAAGACTATGAGCTTCAGGAGAGGACCAGCATGCATCTTCCCTGTAATGATAATGTTGCACTTGTAACATTATTGTTGTTATTATTTATTGTCGTGTACACCATCAAGTTGGAACCAACCCATAGCTGGCTCTCCAGCGGATTTTCAGAGACTGTTAATCGCACAGGAGGAGATTGCCCATCCTTCCCCGTTGGAGGATTCACAGTGGGCGTCTTTGGGATTGCAGTGTAGCTTTTCACCATTAGGCCACCAGAGCTCCGTTATCGTCACATGTGTAAATCCTGTGAGCTTCTGGAGCATCTTGCCTTAATGCTAATACTGCATGCTGTTGAGTCAATCTGACTTAAAGCATCTATATAAGACTGAATAGTATTTCAGTGGAAGGTTTCCTGGACTTCAGAGGATCAGATCACTAGATCTTCCCTGCACTCTGCCCCCACTTCTTCCCCCAACAAAATATCTCGTGGATTTGAAATGCTAACCTTTCAGTTAGCAGCCAAATGCTTAATCTCTATACCACAGGGTTTTTCTGCCTATAATGAATCCTCCCAATATATATTAAAAAAAAAAATTAAGTTCTGTCCATCGATTTTAGCGTACCAGGGTGCAGTCTGGGGACTGACCAGCTGGTGCTTGTGGCTCATCATAAGCTGATCGTCATGTGCAGAGGGTCACTCAGGTGACACGAGGAGGAACAGGGGAGCTAGGAGAGCCACCCTCTCCCTTCACCTCTGTCTGTAGGTGCAGGAAAACGGCTGTTAGTTTGGTATTTTTGGCTTAATTCCCACATTTCTCAATTTAAGAATTCTGAAAAGTAAAAATTGACAAGTGAAAAGGATGTGCAGTATTTAGCATCGCATCTACTTCGCCGCTGCCCCCCTCCCCGTGTGAACATTTTACATATGTTAATAAAAACTCAATGGTGGGGGTGGGGAGGCGGCACAGGAGTATTTTTAGTCCCCATCTAGTGTAGAAGTGGGCTGCAGCGTGAATTGACTGGGAGGCAGAACACTCCCTGTTCAGTTTATTTCCCTAGTTTGCATTTAAGAGGGACGATTGGAAACATTCAGTTAATGGTGCCCTGATTGTTTCTGGGCAAGTAACAGTTGTGGAGTAGGCATATGTGTACTCTTTGTAACATAGACATGACATTGTGTGCTTGCATACAGTATGGAAATATATTCACTGAGCATAAAGCACAGTGATAGCGTTGGTGGCACAGAGAGTAAGAACCTGGTTGTCACACTAAGATCTGCTTGAACCTACCAGCAACTCTGCAAGAGAATGATGTGGTAGTTTGCTTCTGTCATATAATGATGGGGGGTGATTCTTTCGTCTCACATCTTGGCCCTCTTAAGCCCCCTTGGCTTCAAGGATAGTCTGTCTTTGGCCACATGTGATTGTTAGCTTGACTTTATTAGGATCATTTTACTGGGACATGAGAAAGCAACACAGATCTTCTTAACTTTCCTATATGGATTGTGCAATCATATGATTAATACCCCACCCAGTAATACCCTCGCCCCATCCTCACCCCTTTGCTTTCATCCTCTCTCCTCCCCCATGGATCCTCATACTCATTCTACAATAATGGTTCTATATAATATTTGTTTTTGTGGGACTGAGTTAGATCATTCAGCATAAATCTCTCTAGTCCCTCCCAAGTTAGGTAGTCATTTACAAGATCGTTGCTCCTGCGTGCTGCGTAGTATTCCACTATATGAATGTACAATGAGATTTTATTGCTTATGAATAATAACATTTACAGAAATGTGGCAAACTGAGAGCAGGTGGATGACATTATATGAAGAGAAACTAATGATAAAATTTCAAGAGCTAAGCAAAGCTTTACAGAAAGAAGAGCGAAGTGGGGAAAAGTGGTGATTTATGGAATAACAGAACTATTCCCTTTAATATCCTAAAAATTGCTTCTTTACTGAATTCAAAATGATGACACCCCTCTGGCGTATCTTTTATTCTCTCTTGAATATGTAGGTTCACATGATTCATAAACCAAAGCAACCTACAAATCCATTTTTAATTTTTTTAAAAAAATCAAAGGGAAGAGAAAAACACATTCTGCTTTAAGAAAATCCACAAAACCAAGATTCATAAAACTCAGGGGTTTTTTTTTTGCTTTTTTTTCTATAATTATATTTTATTAATTTTCATAAACATTTACAGAGATTTTGGGCTTCCACTCATTCATTGTTGCACTATTCTCTCTACCCTCCTCCCAGTTTGTTCTTGTCCAAATGCCACAGTGCTTGTCAAAGCCAGTTCTGATTAATCTTCTTTGTCAGTGTATCCTTTGCCATTCCCTATCACTCCTCCCTGAGAGAGACTTCACCCTGAGTCATAAGGAAAAGGGGATGGCGTATTCTCTTAGCTACTTCCTGCTGAAAAGGGACGCTGTGGGTTTCAGGGTGAAGATCTTCTCTCACTACTCTAAAGGGCCCCTTTGGCAGTTAGGAAACACATAGACTATTATGGAGATTGATTTTGGAATTCAGATACACTCTTATTGATTGTGCTTGGAAAACTCAGGTTTTAAAATATGAAATATTCTGTGCTTCACTAAGAGTTCTGCTGTGAAGTTACCTTTAATATAGCATTTCGCAGTGTGGGAAATGGCAGTAGGTTTGGAAGCAGAGGGATCGGATCCGGATACTGAGTCAATTCTTTGACAGAGATATTATTATGTGTGAAACACAAACTACATGAGCTTCAATTCCCTTACCTGCTAATACAGGTAACTGACATGCACCTCACCACAAAGGTGATCAGTTACAGTACATGTGAAAGTGCTGAAGTGATACATGAGAGGAAGTTATTAGATCATTCATGAGGTATTGCTTCCACCTTTCTATAAATACATCTACCCCATCCAGAACTGTGTTCACGTACTAGAACCTGGAAGAAGAAAATACTTAAAAGTAATCATAGACAGAAATGTTCATTGCAATTACGACATCCAGTGCACAGAGCAAGGGGTGGGTGGAGTGAAGGAAATGGGAAGGATATTTTGTGAAAAACAGTTTTCAAACTTTGTAAATAAATCAGTATAAAATAAAAAAATCTGATTTATCTACCCATTCCAGAGCTTTGATCAGAGATGCAAACAAAAGCTAATCAGACAGGCACTATCACTTTTCATAAGGAGGTTCTTAGAAATAGTCATCTGATGAGCTTACAGACTTTTGCATTAAAATGGTCTCTGAGCCCAGGTAATGAGTCTCTATTTTATCTATATAAAAATTTATAATAAGGTGCTCAGGGCAAAGTTGTTTATAACCTTACTTTAAATTTCTCTGTTTTTTTCACCCAAGTCCTATAAAGATGGAGACTCTAAAACTCCCACTCTTGAATGCACAACCCTTAATAAACTCTAGCTTTTCATTTAAACAAAAAAATTATCTGGTTTCTTACCAGTATGAAAGTGAACTTGATTAATGTACCATTGTTCAGAATCTTAGGGTGATACTTTTTGATACTTTTCTTTCTTTCTTTTTTTTTTTTTTAGAAAAAGATGTTGTTAATTGGGGGGTTTTTTTCTTCTTTCTCCACACAAAAATGACCTAATTTAGATCTGATTCTATAATCATCTAGAAATTTAGATTTATTCAACTGGGATGTGTCCAACTAGCACTGTATGACGTCCACAGCTTTTGTTTGTCTTCTCCTGCCTGCTGCCTTGTGTTTTATTTCAGCATCAGGAAGGATGAGGAAAAGAAATAGAAGTTCACCTCTTTATCCACTTAACAAATGTCCTAAGAACAGTGTCCCGGTAGATAGTTGAGAATATGACTAAACGGATGTTTTCAGGCTCAGTCTAGTACCTTTCAGGGTAGTTAATTCATAAGGAACAGCATTTACTTGCTGAAAGTGAGGAGGACTTGAAGCTCTTCTTGCAGAAGATCAGGGAATGCAGCCTTCAGTATAGATTGCATCTCAATATCAAGAAAACAAAGAGTCTTGCCTCTGGATCAATAAAGCAGTGTCGTGATGGATGGAGAGGAGATTGAAGTCAACAGCTTCATCTTGCTTGGATCCACAATTAACACCCTTGGTATGAGCAGTCAGGAAATAAGGAGACGCATTGCACTGGGAAAATCTGCAGTTAGGGACCTCTCCAAATTATTGAGGAGTAGTGATGTTAGTTTGAGGACTAAGGTGCCGTCTGATTCAGGCCATAGTCTTTCCAATTACTAGCTATGCATCTGAGACCAGGACAGTGAATAAGGATGACAGAAAAAGAATTGATGCCTTTGATGCCATGGTGTTGGAGTAGAGCACTGAACATCCCATGGATGGCCAAGAGAACGAACAGATATGTCTTAGAGATAGTGTAGCCAGAGTGCTCTTTGGAGGCAAGAATGATGAGGCTTCGCCTCACATACTTGGACATGTTGCTAGAGGGATGCTGTTCCTTGGAGAGGAATATGATGTTGGGAAGGGTAGAGGATTGGCAAGGGAGAGGAAGACGCTCATCCAGCTGGACTGACAAAATGACTGCTGTAATGGGCTCTTGTGTGTCAGAAAGTGTGAGAATGACACAGGACAGAACAAAGTTCACGTCTTTTGTTTATAGGGTTACTGTGAGTCATGTTCAACTTGACAGTAGCTAAGAATAGCAACAACTCTTCTATAATCTTTCATTAAAATCACAATTAAAATTTTATTATTTTTTTATTTTTTGTGTGTGTACCGTCAAATCAGATTTGATAGGTACAGGAAAAGATTGTACCTCCTTCTCCAGCAGAGCATCTGGTGGATTCGAACCCCGTACCTCTTGGATTGCAGTACAGCTTCTTATCACTAGGCTACCAGAGCTCCTTAAAATTTTATTTAATTTTTTTTTTAAATTTTATTTTATTTCATTATTTTTTGTGTGTACCGTCAAATCAGATCTGACTGATACAGGAGGAGATTGTTCCTGCTTCTCCAGCAGAGCATCTGGTGGATTTGAACCAGGTACCTCTGAGACTGTAGTGCAGCTTCTTGCCACTAGGCCACCAGAGCTCGCCACTTAAAATTTTATTTTTTAAAAATATGAAAGAGTAGGGAAGATTGCAGTGTGGAAATAGCACTGTAATGCTGACCAAACTCCAAATGTCCATCAAGAAATGAATATATTGAGAAATTGGTACATTTCCATAATGGAGCATTCAGGAGTAACTATTCTGAAAACTACTGCATAAGATGGAAGAGCATTATGCTGAGTGAACTAACTCGGGCTCATAAGGACAAATACTACATAAGACCATTATTGTAAAAAAAATGCATAATTAGAAAGATGTGTGTGAAAAGTGCAAAAGGGCGAAGGGAAGGGAGCAGAATTGAGGGTAGGAAGGGGAGAAATCACAGTTCACAGAATTTGGTGGGTGGAGGGTGTGGGGAGGTGAAGAAACTGGGAAAGATCCTGTTGGGACCTGAAAAAAGAGTAATGGTGTGCATAGATAAATGGTGATTAATTTTAGAAAACATAATGTATGAGAACAATGGTTATAAAATACAATGTGAATGAAGGAATGTGTGAAACATATTTGTATGTAAACCAATATAAAATATTTTTAATAAAAATTTTGTATGTAAACCAATATAAAATGAAAAGAAAAAACCCAAGCAAACCAAAATGATATTTTGAATATTGAGATTAACTGAAACATAGAAATCCATAATACTTGGGTTTTTTAGCAGAGAGAAAAAAAAACCAAACCCTCACAAAACACATAACATAGATCATTCTTTTAGAGGATCAGAAGTTTTAGAATCACCATTAGACTCTTAGGCCTACAAAAAAAAATCTAGCCAAACTAATAACATATGGAGGAACCCCTGAAAATGTAGGAGCTGCTGATGGCTGGAGGAAAGGGAAGATCTGGGGGATGATTGAAAGCAAACCTTTGTTTAGGAAGAGAGGGTAGAAGGGGCTGCCAGGTGCACCCGAATTAAATCCAGGTGGACTTCTTGTTCTGGAAGCAGGCAGGCATTTCCATTCTGCCTGGACACTCAGGAGCAGACCTTCAGCAGCCCCAGTGTGTCCTCTGAGGACCTGAAACTCACCTGCCGGCAGAGATAAGGCTATAATATTTGGCGTGTGCCTTAGCTTCCTTTTTTTGTTCCCACAAAAGATCATTGCCCCCAAGTGACCTTTGCAGTGTGAGACCGATTATCACCTCCATGCTGAAATCCTTCACATGTTTCCCATTGCTGTTGGGATTAATCCCTGTCACTGGAGCTAAACTCCTGCCCAGTTGACCCTTCTCATCTTCTCTAGCCTTTGGCTCCCACCACAGGACTTCCCCTTGATCCCTCCTCCAACCTCTGACCTTCTATCCATGTTTCACGTGTTCCCTCCAAACAGCCTTTCCACGTACTCCTCCCTCTGAAAATGCTGCTGCTTTTCAACCACCTACTCCATCTCTCAGCCATCCTCCAGACTTCTGGCTGGATAGCACTTACTTACACAGCTGTGGTTTACTATTTTTGTGTGATTGTTTGATGGTTTCCCACCTGGAACTGTAAGCTTTAGCTCCAGGAATGCACCGCGCGCCCAGGATTGTTGGAAATGAATGAAGACACTGAGTCAGTCACCAGGGAAGCTAAATATTGGAGTGGTTAAGACCCTTCTGATTTCATTTCCTTCTTTTCCAAGTTGTTTTGTTGCCTCTAACAGGCCAGCAATGATGCCTTTGCTCATGTAAAATGAGGCCAGACTCATTTTATAGTTCAGGAAAGTTCCCAGAGGCCTAGGTAATTCCTGTCTTTTTTTGCTGGGCAGTGTGATTTCCAGTAAAAACCAGTTCTACCAAGGAACAGCTGGTAGATTTGAACAAAAAGGCATGACCTTTGGGTTGACAGCTCAGCTTTATGGACAAGGCTGACTAGCCAAAAAGATCAATGGTTCCAGTCCATCCAGAACCCCCTGAGAGCACCAGGAGGTCTGCTTCCAGGAAGGTCACAGCTTGAAAGCCCAGTGGAACAGTTCTGCCCTACACACATTGGGTTGTCGTGAGCTGGAATCAACATGATCAACAAGAACAGAAAAATTACTAAAGGAAAAGTTGTTATGGCCTTTGGAACCAACTCAGCTGACCCTTCAGTGCATCAGATTTCAGAGGCTGTAAATCACACAGGAGGAAATTGTCCGTTTTTCTCCTATAGAGAAGCTGGTGGATTTGAACCATGCACCCTTTGGGTTGACAGCACAGTTCTTTAGCACGAGCCCACAAGGACTTCCTAAAAGGAAAAGGGGGGAACTAACACTAAAGGCAGTTAGCAGTCTCTGCTGAAAAGCCTTTCCTAGACTTCAAGAACCGCACCCACTGCCATTGAGTCAGTTTTGACTCCTAGCACCCCTCCACTAGGTCTCTGAGGCTGTACCTCTTTACGGGAGGAGACTCCCCTTCTTTCTTCCAAGCATGGTTAGTGGATTCGAACCACAGAACTGTCCACTAGCAATTCAACATGTAATGCGTTACTCACCCTTCCTCCAAACTCTTTAGGCCTTACACAGTTTTAGTAATACCCGAGACTCACCATGGTTCCAGGCAGAGTCAACATTTTCTTCTCAATGGTGAACGAATTCATTCAACACACTTGTAGTGTTACTTACCTGAGAGGCCTTCCTCACTACCTTTCTTTGGGCTTTTCTAACTCTTTTTTTCATTCTTGGGTCTGATTACTGGGTATACACACACAGTTCATTCTGTGGTAGGGAACTAGTCTTTGTTTTCCTTTTGCTAGTTTATGGAGTAATAGCCCCTCCACCATCCCACTAGGACACTGCTCTCCTTAACTTCTTCATAATTCCTGTTGATAAGAAGTCGGCTTCCAACTGATAAACTCTGTTGTTGAGCAAATAAAGCCACAAATCTGTTTTCTTTACCTTGTGGATGGTGCCAGTGGGCACGAACCCACCTTTGTCAAGGAGGAGACAAGGGAAGAGGGAATTAGTGAACATAAAGTTGGGCATGTGTGTGTTCATCCTTCAGAGTTCATTGTCTTTGTTTCCCATCAGGCGATTAGCCGAGGCATAGGTTTTGAACTTGTCTACAGCCCTGCCATCAAAGACTCCACAATGAGAAGGTACACCATTTCCAATGCCCTCAATTTGATGCAGATCTGCAAAGGAAAGGTATGGGTCCATAATTTTAGGATGTTTGTACAAGCCTAGAGGTTTATCACGATAAATATACAGGAATTTCAAATCCGTTTCTTTTGCCCTTAAAGCTGAAAGTTCTTGTGGTGCTGAAAGAAATTGTCCCATGTTAGGGAGGAGTAATGTAAGGGGAAGAAAGATGTGTGGAAAACCTTTCTTTTTCAGTAAGGGATTTGCAGTCACCTGCTGGGAAAAGAATAAGGGGTCTCCTATCAGTTGTTTATCACCTGTGAGTTAAGATTATGACCTTGTAAACTAAGATACTTTTTTTTTGGTGGTGGTTTCAAGTTTTTCCCCCCATCCTCTCTAATCTCAATTTGGAGAGGCCTATTCTAGTTTTTAATTATTAAAGGCTACCTTTGGTTTGACATATGGTCTTTCATTCTTTCACTTCAGTTATTTTATCTTAGGTTTAAAAGAAGCTGACATTTGCACCTTAAATGTTAAAATATGATTGTTGGTTATTTGTACTAGAAGACTTTTTTTAAAAATTATATAAGATTTAATAATTGTTTTCTCTTTTGTAGAATGTCATTATCTCTAGTGCTGCAGAAGGGGTAAGTCTGGAATTAAGTACTTTGCTATTGCTTTTCAGGTTATAAAATGGAACAAGTGTCTATAAAAGAAATTAGGATAACAGTGCTTATTGCATATTTTCATTTTTTAACTATACATTTGTTTATTACAATTGCTAGAGAATACAATCTGTCCTTATTCCAGTTAACTTTGAAGTTTTGTCTGTGTAAATAGTATTTCTTTTATTACTGTTACTAGGTGCTTTTCATATTTTCAAAAACTCAATGTATGCATCAAAATTGTAATGGTCTGAAAATTATGCAATTGACTTTCTTAATTTCCAACATGTTAGCATCCTGTTTATTTACTCCAAATGAAGTTCTTGAAATGTCAAACAGGTTGTTTTCTCACATGTAGTTTTTGTTTTGTTTTAGCCTTTAGAAATAAGAGGACCATATGACGTGGCAAACTTGTATCCTTTTTTATGCTGAAGGTTTTTTATTAGAAAATTTGGGTTTCAATGTACTATTAAGTTTTCTGGTAATAACTGTCTGGAGCCATCAGCTTGTAGAGCATGTCTCTCTGTTTTCTAGGTTAAGGGTGAGATAAAGAGAGGAGTGAAGTCTATACTATAACAAGTTAGAATTAAGTAAGTCTCAGATGTTCTAGTTGATCTAAGGAATGATAGAGAAGTCTAGTCTCTCAATCAGACCAGGTTAGCTGGCAGTTGTAGGTATATTTGAGCCTTTCTTGTGTCTGTGGCTGATACTGGGTTAAAATCCTTAATGACCTCACGAGAGGGTTGCTGTTTGGGCTGTCTGAGAGCAACGCCAAGGCTGCTGTGTCCACCAACTGCAGATCAGTGCTTCTCCATGGAGGTAAGCAATTTTCTTGATGAAGACATCTAATGTTCTCGTTAGATACAAGTCATGTTAAGTCATACAGCTGAACCATATCTGCTTTTCTCTGTCCTGTCCTGCAGGGTCCCTTTGGGGTTGTCTTTCTTCAGCCTTTTTCAGTCATGTCTCTCCTTGCCTTCTCAGTCTTTGCTTTCTTTTCTTTGTGGAGTGAATATGGTTTACTTTATAGGAAGGAGGTTTGAATGTGGTCCCTGGAGCTATAGACAGATATGAGAGCCTTCTGGTATCATCTGTTCCTTGTCCTGGTTTCCAGCACTGCCAAAGCAGAGAAAGCACAGATGAATGGGTTTAACAAGTAAAAAGTTATTCCCTTACAGTTCAGGAAGCTGTCAGTCCACATTCAGGATGCCAGTTCTTGGGGAAAGCCCTTTCTCTGTGTCTTTCTCAGTCTCTGTCTCTGTCTCTCCCTCTCACTCCCTCCAAGGTCAAGGAGCCCTCAGTCCATAGCGTCCACATTCTCTCATTACAAACTTACATTTTGGAGGATTGACATACACATGTCAGTCCATGGGACGACTATTTTCTCTTTTTAGGAGCGTGTTTTCCTTGTTGAAAACTCATTCATTTAGAAAAGTGACATGTTTTAAAAAAAAATACTAAGTCATTTATTGTACATAGAGTTTTCAAAGACCTGCTATTTCAGAAGTGAATGGCCAATCCTTCTTCGTAGTCTGTCTGTATTTGAATGCTTAGATTTAGAACATTATCTGACAAGCATTTTACAGAGAAGAGCAGATTAAAGATATTTCCCAGTGGTAGAAAAAAACCAATAGATTCCATGTTGTTCCTGCCCTTGGCAAGTGTGTTTTGACCCACCCCTTTCCCTGTTCCACCAGCATTTAAAACTGTTCACACCTACTCCATTCAACAGCAGTCTCCCCTATCCAGCCCTTGATGTGATGGCCTGTCAATCTTTCTGGGCTTATGTGATTCCAAACACCTCAAGCTGCTGAACTTCTGCCCCATGATTGACTTCTTGTGCTTTAGGTCCTCTTCTCCTCCATTTATGCTACAATAGTCTCCCAGGGGAGGTATAGATTTGGTATCCCAAAATTTGAAGGTGTCAGCTTTGACCTGCGGGCTTCTGGGAGACGTAGTTTATTGTACCTGTTGCGGGGTCAGCTGAGTCACCTCCTGCCACACACATCATACTCCAGCGCTCTGCCCTGCTGCCCCCATGCCTTGTGCTCCAAAATTTGAAGGTGTCAGCCTTGATCCATGGGTTTGGTTCGGTGACTGGGGTAATGGGGATAGGTGTGTTGGAGACAGGAAGATCGGCACAGGATAGAGCAGGGCTTATGGCTGTTGTATATAGGGTCGCTATGAGTCACAGGCGACTCAACAGCACATAACAATAACAACCACAAACTCATTTATTAGGAAATCTTGCCACAGGAGTTATTGCTAAGTGCCACCAAGTTGGAACTGATTAATAGCTGACCTTCCGGGTGGGGGGCGTTTCAAAGGCTGTAAATCACACAGGAAGAAATTGTATGTTTTTGTCCCAGGGAGCAGCTGGTGGATTCCAGTTGTGTGCCTTTGGGTTGGCAGCACAGCTCCTTACCACTAGGCTACCAGAGCTCCCATCATGTGAGAAGAGGTTGAAAAAAGTACATGAATGGACATGAAAACAGAAGACTTGGGATACACAGTTGTTTTATTATTAGATGCCACTGAGAGTTGAGTTTTACCATTAGAGGGCTTGCCTCAGGGAAATCAGAACTAGATGGGTTCTGTGGAGTTTCAGAAATCAGTGAATAGAGATGGGGCAGAGGAAGGAGGCTCCAGGTCAGAGGGTTTGGCTTATGATTGATGAGTTCAGTTTCTCAATCAGCCGTTGGCCAAAAATGGACTTGCTGAGGACACCTAGCGTGGCTTCTCGTGAACAGAAGCAGGTGCTGTGAGATCAGGAGTCCTGGGGATGCATCTGTGAAGCACCCAGCAGCAATCTGAGGGGTTGGTTCGAATCATCCAGTGGTTCCATGGGAGGAAACCGGGCCACGTGTTTCCATAAAGATTATAACCTAGAAAAGCCTGTGAAGTGGTTCTGTAGAGTCACTGTGAGCTGTAATTCATCTGTTTCATAGCATCCAGCTGCAGTAACAGGTAGTTGTGAAGCCCTGGTGACTAAGTGGTTAAGCACTGAAGCCATTGTGTGGAGGAAAGATTCAGTGATCTGCTTCCATGAAGATCCTCGCCTTGGGCACTCTGTGCAGCGGGCGCTCGACTCTCTCATATGGGTGGGCAGGTCCGCTCTAGCCTATGGGGTCACTGTGGGCGGGAATCAGTTGGACAGCAGGGGAGGTAGTTGTAGATTTTTCCTTGGCTGGATGATAAAATGAAGTCCTCAGTAAGTGAAAACAGTCTGTAAACTAACACTCTACACAAAGGTAGCTTGTTATTCACACACATAGACAGTCACAGTGACATTCTGCATTTTGCTTTTTTACCTGAGCACTAGACATAGGAGTTTGGGCTTATTTGAATATTCATTCAAGTAGTTATTGAATACCTATTACGTGCCAGGCTAGGTGTTGGAAATAATGCGATTCTTCAAAGGGGATCTAGTAAGAGAGACAGATACTGTACATAATGTAACATGAAGCAAGCTCCCACACCTCCATGGTAGCAACAAAATGTTGTTCATGCTCTCTAAATTCAACTCCCTCTTTGTACCTTATAGAAAGCCTCTGGGCACCAACATTTATGCCTCAAGTGCTGGTTGCATAAAGTGGCAAAAAAGAGTGTTAGAGGTTGCTTGCCCTAACATTTCCCCCTTGAGGGTCTCCTTAGCAATGAATTAGACGTTCACATACTGGTATCTGTGTATGTTAGGGATAGAGGTGGCAGGAACGATAATTGATATCAACACTCATAGCAATTCATTATGATTTTGTAACTTACTAGTGCTGGAAATTTTGGTAAGGCTTTACCTCACATACCTTGGGCATGTTGCTAGGAGAGGTTATTCCTTGGAGAGGAACATCATGCTTGGGAAGGTGGAAGGACAGCAAAAGAGAGGAAGACCCTCGACCAGGTAGATTGACACAGTGACTGCAGAAATGGGCTCAAGTGTGTCGTAGATGGTGAGGATGGCACAGGACGGGACAGGGTTCAGGTCTGTTGTTCACAGGGTCTCTGTGAATCATGCTTGACTCCTTGGCACGTGGCAGCAGCAGTACTGGAAGTCAGAGCAGTATGATGACATTTGTTAAGCCACTTCTTTTTCTAATCCTATTTTAATGTCAAGCATTTTGATCTCCCTGTTTATTTTACAGAAACAAGGAAAACTGCTTTTGGAATTGTTTCCACAGTGAAGAAACCTCGGACATCAGAAGGAGATGATGATTCTCTCCCAGCCTGCAAGAAAGCCAAGTGTGAGAGCTGAAAGATCTCACCGTCTCCACCCTGGCTCCCGTGGGCCCCTGCGGTTCACTGGCTACACTGCACATAAAACCTCTGTGTGACTGTTTTCCTTTGGAGTTTGAAATCAATAGTCTCCAAAACAGATGTATTCAAGCTATTAAAAAACAAATGAAGCATTTAAAGGGACAAATTTGTCCTTTTCATGAATTTACAATCATTTTAAGGGAAAAACGGGCTACTTTGCTTACCCTTTGTGTAACTGACGAACCATACATAGCAGGTGTCATTGAATAAGAAGACATTTTAATATTTCAAGAAACAATTAAAAAATGTTTTATGTCATTCAGAACTCATGCTTTCCTACAAATGGATTATTCTTTTTTTAATCTTACTATTCAACATGTCAAGAGTCCTGGTTGCATAATGTTGATTTGCCAAAAGGTCAGCAGTTCAAATCTATCAGCTGCTTTGGAGAAGAAATATGGACGATTTCCTCCCATAAGGATATAAGGCCCCGGAAACCCACAGGAGGGTTGCTGTAAGTTAGAATTGACTTGACAACAGTGGATTTGAGTTTTGGTCTGATGTTCAAGAAGCGATTATTTTGAGGTCTATTAAAGCTTAAGGGAGCGCTGGTGGCCAAGTGGTGAGAGTGTGCTGCAATCCCGAAGGCGCGCAGTTTGAATCCACCAGCTGCTCCACGGGAGAAGAATGGGCAGTCTCCTCCCATGGGATCTGCTGCCTCCGGAAACCCGCTGGAGGGTCAACTACGGGTCAGTTCAAACTCGCCAGTACGCAACAACAACATTCAAAAATAAAGGGAGGCAATGTTTAGTTGATTGGACACCTTTTAAGGTTCTTTTTCATGTACTTATTGAGCCAATGTTCCTTCTCAATGGGACTGATAAATTTGCAGACATTCCAAGAACGAGCGTGTGAGGCACACAAACTCCTGTCTTCTCCTGGACTTCTTCCTAGTGCTCTGGACTTTTATGATGTCATTGAAGTAGAATTCCTTTTGGCTGGAAACTGTTCAGTATATCATTGCATTTGTGTCACTCACCCTTGGAAATAAGCCCCCACTTCCCCTCCAGCATCATCATGTTAAATACAAGTAGCTTTTTAAAAGTAAACTTTTTACTTTTTTATTTAATAAAGCTTTTACATGAATAGTAATCTGTTATTTAATTTTTTTAAATGACCCTTTTCACAAAGATAGATTACCAAGAAGCGTCTGGGACATCTATGGAGAAAATCCAATGCCAGTACGAAGGGATGTTAGAGAAGACTGGCACGTGTGGGAGAGCCATTCTGTTTTTGTTGTTTTTTTAGGCTGGGGTTTTGTTTGTTTGTTTGTTTGTTTGTTTTTGTTTTTGTGTGTGTGTGCCATCAAATCGGATCCAACCGGTACAGGAGGAGATTGCACCTCCTCTACAGCAGAGCTTCTGGTACATTGAAACTGCGAGCCTCTGGGATTGCAGTGCAGCTTCTTGCCACTAGGCCACCAGAGCTCCCTTGCTTTTGTGTTTTGTTTTGTTTTTTAAATTAGAGTATTTAAGTTGTAAACCCACTTCTCCCAAAGTTAGTCTATGACTGTAACAAAGTCAAATTTAAAATGCCTGAAGTTATTTTTGTTTGTCTGCTTAAATGTTTTGTTTCGGATTTTGATCTGATGAAATGAAAAGGCCATCTGAAAGAACAAACAGAACAGCTAAAAGCTTTCAGGGGAGAATTCAGTGAGAGGGACTTGTTTGTACTGCTGAATATTATGGAGTACAGCCAACTTCTCGTCACTGAAATAGTGTACTGGTGCAGAAATTCAGAAGGGTTGGTGTAACATTGTCCTCAAATGATGTAGCGTTGGTACAGCGAGTTACCTGTTTGTGAATGCAGCTCAGTGTCACGGGTAAGTGCATGGGCTGAAGACGAACTGCTGGTGCAGGCAGTTTGATAGATGTTATGACGTGAGACTTGGAGAGAATGACAAGAGCACACTACGGACAACTGACAAAATCTAAGAGTGCTCAAGAAGTCAAAAGACGTCTTTCATTTGGGGAAATCTGTTGTCAATCAAGGACCTCTCCAAAGTGTTAAAAAGCAAGGATACTATTATAAAGACCAAGTTGCACCTGATCCAAGCCATGGCCTTTTCAGTTACTTCCTTTACATCTGAGAGTTGGACAGTGAATAAAGATGACAAAAGGAGAATCGGTACCTTTGTATTGTAGTTTCTGAGAAGAGTATTGGATATCCCACAGCTGGAGTGGTCCGTAGAGGCAAAGATGGGTAAACTCTGTCTCATATACATGTCCGGAGCAGACAGTCCTTGAGGAAAGACATACTGGGAGAGGCGGAGGGTCAGAGAAAGTGGAAGATCCTCAACAACAAGGATTGACACCGTGACTGATGCCTATTAGCGGATATGAGGATGACGCAGCGAAGGGGAAGGGCCAGGTCTGTTGTTTACAAGGTTGCTGTGAGTTCTAGTCATCTTCAGGGTGCACAACAAGAAGGGTGCTCAGCTTCTCAAGAGAGAGAACAGCTCAGCCAAAGGAAGGGATGGGACGTCTGCAGTGGGCGGGGGAGAGGCAGCAGAGAACCTTCCTGGGAGCTGGCACTGTGTGTGCAAAAATCTTACAAGGACCTGGATCTTTGACGGAATGGAAAATTCAGTGGACTTGGAATTTATAGTCTCAGTTGGATCATAACAAGATTTGAGAATAAAGCACACCAGCCTGATTTCAAGGGGTTTATGAGGCATATGAAATTTTCCTTTAATTCTGAGGGAAAGTAGGAAAGCCATTGCAGGGTTTTATAGAAGTGAGTAACTTGATCAGATTTGCGTTTTAGAAAAGTCACTTGGGCTGAAGCCTCAAGACCGAAGTGGCAAGAAGTAAGCCTGGAGGAGGCCAGGAGCCCACGGAAGACCTGTAATCTGACAGACAGACGCCATAGTGGTCCAAGCTAGGCAAGTGGAAGCAGACAAGTTTAAGAGTTGTTTAGGTAACAAACCTGGGAAGAGGATTTAGCTGTTGACTAAAAAGGAGAAGTGAGGGAAAGAAAATGTCAAGAACAAGGGGTCTTGGGGATGAAAGACGGAACATGAGTAAAGAAATGACTTACGAGAGAGGGTGCAGATCTTCTAGAAGTTGACCACATGTATGGTTTGGGAACCCCGGTGATGCAGTGGGTTAAATGCCTGCTAAGGGAAGGGTCAGCAGTGGAGTCTGTTAGCGTACATGGAGAAAAAGATAGTCGGCTTCTGTAAAGATTTACAGAGTTGGGAGGTTACAAGGCAGTCCTGCTCTGTCCTGTGGGTTCACCAACTTGATGGCTGTGTATGTGAATGTGCGAGAGAGAGACTTGGGATTTTTGCCTGAAGTGTTTATTCTATTACCAAAGATAACTGGAATTGGCTTTATTCCAGGGGGATATTTTCCATGTTGTCTCATCCCCTCTATCTCTTTACTAGTATAAATATTTGTATGTGGCAACATAAGCATTTTTTTTTTCAAAAACTCCACACTCCTCCCTCTCCTTTATTCTCCCACCTCTGCAGAGGGGATGTTGAGAGAGACATGTTGAAGAGAATTGGCTTGCGTACACGACGCCCACGCTGCACCAAAGGAGAAGTCAGTCCGAGCAAGTTGTCTGTGTTACAGGTCATTTGCTCTGAAGAACTAGCAGGACCTTGAGCCTTAGGCTCTGACAAGCTCCACTCAGGGCCCTACAGAGAGGGCAGAGGTTGACGAAAGGGATTGGCAAGGGCAGAGATAACAGGAAACTTCAGTGCTTGTGCGAGGTGGACTTTGAATTGACAGGAGTCAGGAAGAAAAATCTGAAAATACTTCAGGCGAGTCTTACCACTCCCCAAGTGTTCATGTTGCTAAAAGACTTCCTAAATGTCGGAGGCATACCTAAGAGGTTATGCGTACATGACCAGAGGAATGCCCAAGAGGTAATGCATATATGATCAGAGGCGTGCCTAAGAGCTTATGCATATATAACCAGAGGAACACCTAAAAGGTTATGCATATATGACCAGAGACGTGCCTAAGAGATTATGCATATATGATCAGAGGCATGCCTAAGAGGTTATGCACTTGACCCTATGGAGTGGTGGTTGTGGAATTTTTTGGTTTGGTTGGTTGATTTGGATTTTCTGATGAGGGAGTTTCTTATTAGTAATTATGTTACTAATTCTGTGCTAGTCATTCTGTGTTCTACAATGATTTCATTAACCTCCATACTTTTCCCTCAAGTGTTAAACCTGCCCTTTCTCCACTCTTCTCTTCCTGCTGCCCAGAACGCACATCTTGAGTAACTAGCATATCCTTCCAACTGACCCTGAAGTCATCACTTCAAAGACTTCACGGAAACTCTCCCTCCCCACAAGATTATATGTCCACACATCTGATACAGTCGCTCAGCAGGCTATGTTTCCTGTTACTAGACAAGGTAACAATCTTATTAGAGATTGTTGTTATGCACCTAGAGTTAGAACTAATGCATAACTGACTCCAGTGGGTTTCCAGAGGCTCACACAGGAGGACATTGCATCTTCCTCTCACGGAGCATCTGTTAGATTTGAACTGACTGCCCTTTGTTTTGGCAGCCCAATTCCTTACCCACTAGATCACCAGAGCTCCCGGGAGATTGTTACTCTATATTTACGTCCATGATTATTTGTTTTGTCGTTAGAGTGCATTGAGTCTACCCCAACTCATAACAGAACAACAGAAGGAAGCCCACCCAATCCTATACCATCCTCACAGACTCTGCTTCACTAAAGCATCTTGTTCCAGTCACTGTGTGCCAGTCAACCTTGTGGAGGGCCTCCCTTTTTTTTTTTTTAGGGTAAAATAGTAAAGATCAATTTATTAGAAAGTTACATCCCCAAAGGGAAGAACCTGCCTTCTTGAATTATGGCTGGGAGGTGGGGCTTCCTCTCTTTTGTTGCCCCTCCACCAGGCATGATGTCTTTCTCCAGGGAACTGGCCCTTTCTGATAATGTGAGACAGATTTTCACCATGCTCACTTGTAAGGAACCCTCTGATTGCACTTCTTCCAAGGCAGAGTCATTGTTCTTTTGACAGTCCATTCAGGATTCTTCACCAACATCGGAGTACTCCTGTGTTCCAGGAGGCCAGGTGAGGAGTGGTTGGTTTTTCTCACCACCTGCCTGGAGCACCTGGCAACAGAGTAACTTTGAAGATGAAAGAAAGAAAAGAAGAAGAGAAAGAAAGAAAGAAGAGAAAGGAAGGAAGGAAGGAAGAGAGAGAGAAAGAAAGAAAGAGAAAAGAAGAAGAAAGAAAGAAAAAAAGAAGAAAGAAAGGAAGGAAGGAAGGAAGGAAGGAAGGAAGGAAGAAAGAAAGAAAGAAAGAAAGAAAAGGGAAAGAAAAATTCAGTAAGCATGTTCACCCGTGGCGAGCTTTTGGCTCTGCCAGCCAGGCTTACAGTAAAAATCTGCACCATTGGACCAACAGGCAATATCATGATAGATGAAGAAAAGATTGAAGTGATAAATGATTTCATTTTACTTGAACCCACAATTAAGACCCATAGTAGAAGCAGTCAAGAAATCAAAACTTGCTGCATTAAGGAAATCCATTGTCATGGACTTCTTAAAATGACAAAGAGCAAGGATATCAGTTTAAAGACTAAAGTGTGCCTGAGGAAGACTTGGCATTTTCAGTTGCTTCCAATACATTTGAAAATTGGTCAATGAATAATGAAGATCAAAAAAGAATCAATGCCTTTCAATCGTACTGTTTGAGAAGAGTATTGAATAACCCCTGCTAAAAGAACAAAAAGAACAAACAAATCTATCTTGGATCAAATGCAACCAGAATGCTTCTTAGAGCAAAGATGGTGAAACTTGATCTCACATACCTTGGGCATACTGTCAGGGAGGGACGAGTCCTCAGCAAAAGATATGCTGGGAAAAGTGGAGGGTCAGAGAAAGAAAGGAAACCCTCAAGAAAGGGATCGACACAGTGACTGCAACAATGGGCTTGAGGATGGCAGAGATTGTGGTGATGGAGCAGGTTAGGGCCAAGTTCAGACCTGTTCTTCTATGGTCACTGTAGTCGATGGTGGTGAGAATCTGTCTGTGCTGCAGTCCCCAAGGCACGCGGTTCGAGGCCCCAGCTGCTCTGTAGGAGAAGGAAATCTCCTCCTGTGTAATTAACTGTCTCTGAAAACCCGGAGGAGGGTCAGCTATGGGCCAAATCCAACTCCACAGCACACAACCACCACCACCACCACCAGGACTGTCTAAGCCCCACTTGAGTGACCTGCAGTACTCACTACAATCACCAGGGGTCCCTTTAGCTACATCTTTGGTCCCCAAAGACCTCTATTCTGGGTTAGCTGAGTGGTTTTAACAGTCCTGGGGTTCAGGGTGATTGTGGTATACCACAGCTCACTCCTGGAAGCGTGTCCAAAATTGATTCTCAGAACCCACCTCATCTGAATCATAATTTACATTTTAAACCAGATCCCCAGGGAATGAGCACACCTGAGTGTGAGCAGCGCTGTTCAATAGGACAAGGCTAATAAAAACAACGTGAAGGTGGATGAAAAGCAAACAAAACCAAACCCTCCTAGTCGTCTTCATGTGACTCTTTTTTCCAACCACACTTTGTAGAAGGACTGAGACTGATGATGAAGGTTTTTTGTTTGTTTTTATTACGAATATAAAATGTTGGTTCATACAACAATATACATTTGCACATGTACAGATTCTATTTACTCTCGTCTTTGTGGAGCGGGTTCCTCTCTGCACGGCCCTGTAGCCTGCTCCGTCCACTGCCCTGCACTGACACTCATGACGTTCCTGTCACCTTGCTATACTGGGGGGACTGGACAGCAAACCCCAGGCCCAGTGAGGGGAGGGCTGCCTCCGCTGTCCTTCTCTCAGAATCCTTTTCATGCCACTTTGCTTCCTTTCCTGTCACTCTGTGCCTTCCACTACCTCCTTCAAACATCAGCATTAAAAGTCCAGGAGAAATGAGGCTTGCAGCGCTCACCTCTGTCTTTTAAAGACACCTTGAAATATCTTACACGAATGAGATGAGGCCCAAGTCGGTGCTGAGAGCAATACTCCTTATTCTGGTTTAGAAACAGTTCCTGGGGCTAGCTCTGGAAATGTTATATGCACATTAACTCTGATCACCAAATGATGACCCTGAAAGGCCTACACGCCAGTGGCAGCAGAGTAGAGAAATAAATAACCTGGAATAAATACAAAGAAACAGGGCGGGCTTCACTGAACTGGTGGACGTGTGAATAGCTGCAGCCCTGTGGGCTCTCTAGCGTTCATCACCGTCACCACAGGCTGAGAAGCCAAAGCTGGGTTTCACAGCTAAATCGCTCTCCTTTTGCAATGTGCCTTCAAAATGCCACTGAAAGCAGGTGGGGAGAGTCTGTCTTCTTCCTCAGAAGGTAGCGATACGAGAGGTTTTGTAGGCGTTTTCTTTGAGGCTGTCGAATATGGCTTTGGTTCCATTCTGCCAGTGCAGCACCAGATCCATGGGGGTCTTCCCAGCCTGATGAAAACAGAGAGAACTTGACTTTGGGGGAGAGGATGACGCATCTGTACATTCACATTCTCTCTGTGTGTGTATTTCATAAGATCATAAACAAGCGCATGCTATAAAACCCAAAAACCCAGGCACTTTCATCAGTTAACGTGGATTCCAATTTGTAGTGACCCTAAGGACAGAGCAGAACTGAGCCACAAGGTTCCAAGACTGTATGTCTTTATGGAATTGGGCCATCTCCTCAGTATTTCCATTGGCCTTGCTTTGGAAATTTTTCTTAGGGTTGATGTCAAACACATACAGGAGTGAATAATTTATTGACATTGAACTTCATTTATCTATGTGTCTCAGGATATTAAAAAAAACAAACCACAACACTTCTCAATTTTTATCGCTAGATGGGAAAAGTTCTCAATCTTTCGACGGCATAGGTAAGGAGTTGTGCTGCCAACTCAAAGCCAAATGGTTTGAATCCACCAGCTGTTCCTCAGGAGAAAGATGGGCAGTCTCTCGAGCAATTTACAGACTCTGAAAAGCCAGTGGAGGTTCATCTACGAGTTGGTTCTGACTTTAAAGCATTATGTTTGATATTTTGTTGGGGTTTTGTTTTGTTCTTAGCTTTGAGATGTACATCAGTCTGCAGAGCTGTTTTGTGCGGCCCAAACAGAGCACACAGGTTTTTTTAAAGGCTAGAGTTAAAGGAGACATTAAGAAATAAAGAACTTTCCCTTTTGGACTTGTGACCTTTACAAAAAAAAAAAAACAAACCCAAACAACCTACCAAAAACAAAGGAGCTGGGAACAGCTTTGGTTCCACATAGCCACAAAGGAATGGGTAGGGGAAGAGCCACTATCTTTACAAAGGTTGGGTCCACAGAGCCCACGAGCCATCCAGTTAAAATTATTGTGTCATCTGCTTGTTCCTGTGGTCATTTGAGGTAATGTCTGGTAACCTTTCTTAACTTACCCTCCTGTGTGTACACCTTTCCTGAAGCCCACTTGTCAGTAATCATTAAGAATTTCAGACAACTATAGTGTATTGTTTTCCAAACACCTTTAAGATAGCATCCACTACTTAACTGGTCTCTTTTGGAAACTTTGATTCATTTGGTCAATGAAGTTAACAGGTCCTGAATGCTTTCCAGACCCCTCTTTGTATATTATTTTTACTATCCTCTCATTACTTTCTTGCACTCCTGTTTATTGAAATTCAACTCCTAGGTTTCTGTTTCCTTTATTCTATACAGTAACCTCTCTACTGGTAGTGTCTTGCTGCCTTTTTAAAAAATCATATTTTCCAGAGTTCTGCAGATTTTATTGTATAAACCTTTTCTTCAGATAGGATTAAAAATATATTAGAGACCAGTCCCAATATTAAAAGTGAGGGAGCACTGCTGATAATGCTCTCCTATCCCAAGGAGTCTCCATTTGTCACTGTTCTTTGTTTCCATCATCAAGCAAGTCCCTATATTTTTTTAATGATAAAATATTCCTCTCAGTCTCATAATAGCACAAATAAGAGGAGGAAATTATTCATACTATAAGAGGACTGATTTTTTTCCTTCTTAGCAAAGTGATTCACCACACACATCTTTCAATTTCTTTCCCCCCCCCCTTGGTAATTTATATTCTTTCCTCCAAGTGGCATTTCTGAAGCTTATATTAGACAATGTGTGGCTGGGTGGGGACTGGGACCATGAGGAAAAGTGGATTTTGTTTGCTGCTTACAGGCAGAATAAAATTAATATGTCAAGAAGGGACTTAAGCAGCATTTTCAGGGCTGGAGAAAAGGAACTGAGAAGATAAAAAAGAAAATGGTTGGAAATTGTCTTAACATGTAGGCAGCAGCATACAAAGCTGCCCTGGAAGAAAGTGAAGGCCTTAAGGAGAAGAGTATTTGGACGATTCAGGCTGAGCAGTGACTGAGAACTCATTGTTCTGACCACTGTAGAACTTTAGGCCATTCTGGGGAAGGTGCATGTCTCTGTTCCTGACCACTCCACATCTCACACAGCCAGGGAAGGCAGAGGCAGACCGGGCTTCTCTGACACAGGTGTTTGTGGGGGGGAATAGTTTGGGCTAATTTTTTTTTAAGACCAAATTTGAAAAGAGCTGTGAGGTACAACATTAAGCACTAAGGAGTGCTGACGGCACAGCGGGTTAGGTGGTCAGCTGCTCAGCTAGCCCCGCAGTGGCTCCCTGGGAGACAGATGCAGCAGTCTGCTCCGTGAAGATGGGGCAGGTCCACTCTATGCGATTGGATCCCTGTAAGTCAGAATCGACACAGTGCAGTAGAGGGTTTTTGTTTTTGTTTTTCTGTTTGGCATGTTCTGGGCTCCAGAGCTCTGAGAGTTCAATACCAGCTAATGAAAAGGCTGGGGATTCAATCCCACCAGCTGCTCTGTGGAAGAAAGGACCTGGCAATCTGCTCTTGTAAAGATTACAGCCTCAGATATCATATGGTGCCCTTCTAGTCTGTCTTGTAGGGTTGCTATGAGGCAGAATCAACTTGATGGCACAGAACAACAACATACTATGCACAGAAGTCATCAAAACACCCAGTTCCTTTGGAAGTGATTGCAACTCATGGAGACCCCATGGGTTCCAGGTTGGAACCTGCTCCACTAGGCTTTCAATGGCTGACTTTTGGGGAAATAGATCTCTAGACCTTTCTTCCAAGGCACTGCTGGGTAGACCCAAACTTCCAACCTTTCTGTTAGCAGCCAGAGTCTTAACTGCATTGCCCAGGGCCTCCCAGTGCCATCACTATATTGTCCTCCATCTCTGACCACTTGTTATCGCCAAGGTTAGCCATCTTTTTATGGAAATTAACAGACACATTTAAGCCATCACATGAGTCTGTAAATGAGAAAGCCCCCATTTCTGGTACTTACACAGTTCTTGACGTTGAGGTCTGCGCCGTACGTAATCAATAGTCTGATCATCTTATATCGATTCAGTCTCACCGCATCATGCAGGGGGGTATCCCCTTCCTGGGGAAACAGAATCAAAACAGGCTCAACTTGGGCCTAAAGCCAGAAAACGGGCCTCGCTAGAGAAGCCCGGGTGGGGGAGTGATTCCAGATTCATCGGGGACAGGGATGAGGCTACTCACCCGGTCCTTGGCGTTGAGGTCGGCCTCGCAGGCGATGAGATGCTCCGCGCACTCGTAGTGGCCCGTCCTCACCGCCACATGCAGCGCGGTGCTGAGCAACTGAGAAATGGCAGGCACTGATTGGCTGGAGCCGGGACCCAGGCCACCCACCCTCCTCCCTGGTCCCCAGAACCAAGGCCACCCTCCCCCCTGGTCCCCAGGTATAGAAGAGCCTGAGTAGTGGTCACTGTGGAGTCTGTAGGAAACTCCAGGTTTCGGTGACTACACCCAACAAGCTGGGAGGCAGAGGGGGCGGGAGGAGGTCTGATACCTTGTCTCGGGCGCCGATTTTTGCTCCTTTGTTCAGGAGCAATTTTAAGACGTCCAGGTTTCCTCCACGGCTTGCCCAGTGGATGGCTGTGGATTCCAGCTACACCAGGAAATAGAGACACGATAGTGTCAGACATGGCAGTGTGAGAATATGGCCCAGAGAATGAATAAGTGGTTTCTAAAACTCAGGGGTTCCTGAGACGCGCTAGTTGCCAGCTCCAGTTACTGTAGTTGGAGGTTTTGTGTACTATTAAGTCAGAACCGACCTACAGCTGACCCTCCAGCGAGTTTTCAGAGGCATTTAATCCCCGGGAAGGAGAGAGCCGTTGTTCTCCCACGGAGCAACTGGTGGCTTCAAACCGCTTGCCTTTGGGTTAGCAGCACAACTCTTTATCACTAGGCCACCAGACTCCCCAGAGATTGTTATTATTTCTTTTTTATTTTATATTTAAAATTGTCTTTTGACTTCCATTTTGGCCAAATCCTTTTTTGATACCCTCTTTTCTCTTAGCTGTGAAGTCAAATTAGGTTTCATTTAAATAAATGAAGTTTACTCCAAGCCTGAGCTTGATAATGACCCAGCTCTGATGAGGAAATTGAACAGTGTTCAACAGCTTGCACTTCCTTCCTCTCCCTGGAACACTCCTCTCCTTTTATGTATGTATGGAAAATACTCTCCACATGACCTAGTCCCATCTCCCAGCTTTCCTTTGTACAGAGAAATGAGCTTTTACCCAGTTCTTTCAGATCAATTTTCAATCCCATCAGCCTAGCTTTTCATTGTCGGTTCTCTCTAGCTTCTTACGGCCCCACTTCTTTTTGGCTCATTTCCAAGCAAAGAAATATATTTACCATATCACGGAATTCGATCTGGGCTCCAGCTTCCATTAACTTCTCCACAATTGCCAAATGCCCTTCCAAGCATGCTCTATGAAGAGCTGTCCGTTTGTACTGTCAGGACAGAGATGGGAAAAAGAGAACGCGATGCATTTTTAAATGTGCATGAAACCATTCCTTTATAACTAAGGCCTAAAGCTGGGGACTTGGAAGACTTAATTGATAGATACACAAGTGTGTACTTATATGATTTGAGAAAGTCCAATTTACTAACATTGCAGAAAGCAACTAGCACACTTCACCTGCAACAGAGATTTGGGCTTCCTTCAGAGCCTCCACATCTTAGTGTTCAGAGATCTATGTTGGGGGGATGCAAACGTAAAGTCTCGAAATTACCTAAGTGCTGGGATTTCCTTTTCTTGAGTTTTGCACTCAGGACTAGTGTTTATGGAGCTCCTGCCACGCAGATGAATTTTTTGTTTTCCTACCAGGGACTGTTGTTGTTATGTGCCACTGAGTCATCTGTGACTCATAGTGACCCTCTGTATAACAGCCCTAAACTCTGCCCTATCCTGTGTCAATCTCACCACCTCTGACACACCCACCCCCATTACCCTAGTCACTGAATCAATTCATCTCATTGAGGGTCTGTAACTAGGTTAAATAAAAATAAAAATTTTTTTAAAAAAGAATTCAACTCATTTGTAAGAGAAAAGACTCGGGTCTATAGTTCAAGTTTAGAAATTATTCCCAAGTTCAGTTTGTTGAAGGGAAAATGCAAAAGAGAACCAGGTTCTCTTCAAATTCATGTTCATGTTGCCTTCAAATGAGTGGGTTAACAGATTCTCAGAGTTGGAACTGGGCCCCGGTGATGGATAGGGACGTCTCAACTGCTAACATAAAGGTGGGCCGGTTGAACTCTAGGAGAAAGATGTGATGATCTGAAAAACTGAAGACTACAGACCGTTCAGCTCTTGTCACACGCGGCCATTGTTGGTCGGAATGGACTCGGTGGTACTTCATAGAGCTGGAATAACTTTGGGCATGATGGCATTTCAACACTCTCTCGTCACAGAAATGTCAAATAAGTAATTGCTGGTGTTCAAATAGCACAGGAATGGCAGAGCTAAGACTTGTGACAGTCTCCAGTTCTTGGTCTGAGCACTGATGAGTTTGGGTTCAAGCAAAGATAGTGCTAAGAGTGTATTTCTCTAAAATGTTGGCCCTCTCTTATTTACACTGTATCTCAAGAATGTAAAAACTTAAAGACGGACTGAAAAATCCCACAGAAGTATAGAGGAGTACAGAAAACAATGTAATCCATAGCATTAATTTCTTTTTTACGGCTGGGTAAGGAGTGAGGGGAAGGGGGCCACTTTTATAATCCTTCCATATGACAACAGCTGGGGAAATGTTTCAGGTAGAATAATTTTGGCTGTGGCCTAGCATTAGAAACATAAAATTAATGAGCCCAATTTTGCAGTACTTTGTACAACCCTTACCTCATCACAGACATCTGGATTGTTCCTGTCGGACAAGAATTTTTCTACTACTGGCAGTTTGTTCTCCAGGGCAGCCTTCAGAAACCGGGGCACATCTACAGGTTCGGTCTGAAACCGGAAATGTAGTGTGGGCATTACTGCAATCTTAGAACATTCAACCCTACCCTCCACAGAGATTAGTACCCACAGAGCACAAACCCACAGGAGCCCTGGTGGCACAGCGGGATGCATTTGGCTGCTAAGTGACAAGTCAGGCGGTTCAAACCCACCAGTCCCTCTCTAGGAGAAAATATGGCAGTCTGTTTAGACAGACAGCTTTAAAAGCCCTTGGGGGCCGTGCTCCTGTGTCCTATCGCATTGATATGAATCAGAAGTGACTCGAAAGCAATAGGCTAAGGGGAAGCGTAACCCTAGACAAGTAGCACTGCCAAACCAAGCAGCCCTTACAATGATTTCGGGTTCAGATTCCTTCACAACTGTAACTTTCGTTTTCCTGTACTTTTTTCTTTTCTTGAGCTGAATGATTGTTTCAAGGTCTTCTAAATTTTCAAGCTTTGATCTCTGTTCTAGTTTCTTCTTTTTGAGCTGAAAAAGAAGTATGAAGTTCATAAGAAGTTCAAAATAGGATAGGATCTATTGACATCTAGGCATACCTAAACAAACTCTGAAGGGTCTGAAACAGATAAATTTAAAAAAAAATAAAAATAAAGAATTAACATTTCAAAAATAAACTTTCCACTTTCAATTTAGTGGTTCTTATTAAGGTATTTTGGAATCCTGATTTTTCAGTTAATTCTTTTGTGCTTGACCTCACTTTGCTTTACTTTAGTCCTGGATTAACTGAAGAAAACAATCTAATTGCTAAGTGTTTATTTTGTAACTACTGGCATAAATGGGCCTCAGAGTTCTATAGATTCTTTTTACAATCTTCAAAGATTTAAGAGTGTTTAAAAATAAATCCCAAAGAATCCAATAATAAGTGGAAATCTCTGATATATGAATGCCAGTCTCTTTTAATAAAGTGGCCGGCCAGGTGGGACCAGTGAACCACACTGTCCGGGGACTGGAGTTAACGAGGCCTATTTTATCTGTGGTTACTAAACAATAAAGATTCATCCAGCAACATAGATTGTGTCAGCACAAATAGTGGGCAGAGTCAAAACAATAATCCACGGACCACAAACCCACAAACCATGTCATTGAGAAATAAAAGTCTCTCGTGTTTGGAAGTAAGTAGACAGCATAAGTAGCATCATAAATTCACTACTAGGCATGCTTTCCTCTCCAAAGCTATCTTTCAATGTGGACATGGCCATAGTACATTAAATCTACTCAGAATCCAAGGTGATAGTCTTGTCAAAGAATCATTTTCTACAGCCTGCACCATGTAAGTTGTCACTTAGAAAAGATATACATATTTAAATAAGATACAAATGAATTCTAAATAAAAATGTAAATAAACCTAAAACTAAAATTTTTACATAAAAGAAGAAGATACAAAGAAAAGTCTTTTTGGAATGTTGGCTTTGTTTGTTTCTTCTCTCTTCGCTTCCTGGCATTCTTGTCTCACATCCTACTACCCGCCTCCCACTTAGTGGCCTCTTCCAGAAAGTTCTTACCTCTGCCTCTCTCTGTTTCTCGTTTTTCCACTGTTGCTCCCCCAGAGTCACAAGGTGGCCTGGAAGTGTTTTGCGGTCATCTTGCTTCTCTAAAGTAACAGCAGCTTCATACTCCCCATCTCGGAAGTCCTCAGGCAGGAACGCTCCTGCTGATCCATTGCTGTTCTTCTTCCCTGTGACCTACAGAAGAAGAAGAAGATGGCATGTTGAGAGCCTGCCTGGGGACACTCCCCACAGAAGGTGCTGCAGGAGACCCTCAGTCCACTGTCCTTGGTGACAGCCTGCCTCTGTGGGGTACAACACAGACTTCAAGGGGGTACACAGACTTGAAAGGGACAAAAGCAGCTACAGGTATTCCAGGATTGCTCTCAGGTGCTTGGTCTAGACTCTTATTTGAATAAAAGTCTCTGTTAGGTTGACATGTTTAAGTTTATTTTCAATTTGCTTAATCACATTTCTCCTAGGAAAGCCACCACCTGCCTCTAATTATTTAAAAACTCTTCTAGGTACTCTTGGTGACTCGGGGCTTTGAGATACAGAGTTGCCTCATCCATGTTCTTGAAATAGAACATCTTCCCTGAGGCATTCTGATCATGACATGTGATTCCACACTTTAGAAATGAAACCAAAGGAAAAGATTTTTTTAAAAATGGAAAGTATGCAGATAATTCATTACTGACAGCTTAATTCCCCCCTCCCACCCCCCCTCCTACCCCCAGTTTCACTCATTCTTTCACATCAAATAATAAACTTCCATGTATGGCATTCTCAGTCTACCTATACACCAAGCCTGAAAGAAACAAGCATTTTCATTTTCAAATGAAAGCAAAGACTGGGCTAGTTTTGAAGGGATAAAGGTAATGAGTCTTACATACCAGCTCCTCCACCTTCAGAACCATCATGTCTACCCCAATTGGTCTGTATGTCTTTGCTCTGATGGGATGAATCCCTTGAGTTGGCCCTGCGAGCCCCTCCACATCAGTCAGCTTATATAGGCTGAGCTGGGTGAGATAATCTTCCAACCTGGGAATCCAAGTAACACCCCCTGCCCCCCTCAGCAGCCAGCTCAGAGGCAGGTGAATTTTCATTCCAGACTTAGTGTCTGGGAAGGCGAAGAGGGAGGGACTGACAAGCCAATGCCACTGAATATGTGAATCAGGGAGAAATGTGAGAGGGCCATTCCTCTGGCGGTGACCACACCACTCAGCAATGCCAGTCATCCTATTTATCAAGAAGCCAGGGGACAGCTGTCTGTTGATATTGCACCACATAGCTGCTCTTTTCCCTTCTTTGTCAGCTTTCATATGACTAACCTATCAAGAAAATGTAAATGCCCAGTGCCTCACACTCCCCTAATATCTTTCTGATAACCAGACTTATCAACACTTCAGTGGGGGGAAGTGATGCTGCTGGACATCCCATTCCTATGTGTAAACAGCCTCTCGGGGAAGGATTTGGGTCCTAATGGCACTTGTCTATATCTGTTTGGAATTCTCTGGAGTGAGGTCTGGGGCTAAAAAGGCCCCGTGACATGCCACCTTACCATCATTATAAGAAACCGAAAGCATTCAGCAATGCACTTTTATGTTATCTCGTCACTAGACAGAATTAGCAGATGACATGCTCTGTGTTCTGAAACAGCATGCTAACTGGAGCCTTAATTTTTTTTTTCTTCAGAAGGATCCAACTAGTTCAAGGATAGATTATATGAGACCAAAGATTAGCAAAGGCATGACCTTGGTAATATCATAAACTGGCTTTTTTCGAATGCCCTAAATTTAGGAATGGCCTGTGGCAACTTGTAAAAAATGCACATCCTTGGGCCCCAGTCCAGGGAAATTGGCGGAAATTTATGGTGATCTCAGGAATCTGTATTTTTCAAGGTACCCGTGAGTTTTGCATTAGGGAGGACTTCAAACCAACAAGGGCTAAAAACAAAAAGAAACAAAAACACAAAGTGTCTTTAGATTTCTATCTCTGACATGTAAAATTAAGTTAAAAAAAAAGAAGGGAAACTGGATTTATGAGCTTTCAAGTCTTTTTTTTTTTCCAGTCAAATGGCAAAGGAAAGAAGAGTTGAAGGACGGGAATGAGCCATGAAGTGGGGAGTGTTAATCAGGCCATTATTTTGATAGTTCTTTGTCTTCCACTCCTGTAAACTCACCTCAGTCATGGTAGCGGCTCTCTTCACTCCACCCCTTCCTTGGATGGATTATGATCAGCCAGTGGGTGGCTTTTCTGAAACTTTGGAAATAGCACAGGGACCTCCCAAATCAAAACACTGATAGGAAAAGGTCCTCCCTCCCCACAGCTTCTCTACCATGTTCTGGTCTCTTAATGGTTCCTCCTAAAGGAGAATTTCCTTAAAAGAATCCTGTCAGTCTTTTTTTTAAAAAAATAATAAACATTTACAGAAAAGTTGGATTTTTATTTGTTAATTGTTGCACAATTTCTTTCTTCTTCCCTCATTCGTCTTTGCAATGTACCTCTTATTTTGGACTGTCGTCTTACATATAATGCCTAATCATATATTCCTTTAAACAGTTCTTTCCTTCATCTGTTCCAATACAGTGTTCATTATCTATCCACTCTTTTCTTACTATTTTACTTGGGATTTCTTTTTTCTAATTGAAAAGTGACCCTTTAAGCTTTTTCTACCATTTCTTGAGCCTTTTGGTTCCAGGACTGACTCAAACTGAGGGAAATGTTAGGTGATAACATTGGAATAGCACTGCGGGTTGTTCCAGGGTCTTGCAAATGGAAACCCATAGCACTCAGAACCTTCTAAGGTGGGACAAGATAGACACTCTCATTTTACAAATGAAAAACCAAGGCACAAAAACATTAATTAATTTGCTATAGGAATATTAAGTAATGGTGAAAGTTTGACTGAACAGAATTGAATCCATTCAATTGTGAGAGAAAATCACTGAGCTGAAACAGAATTTCCTTGGGTGGTTCCTTCTGTACCCAGTCAAGCCTAAGAAAAAAGAAAAAGATTCTACAGTGTTCAAATAATCTCAAAGAATTCGAGTAATAGGAAGTGGGGAGAATGATTCACCAAACCCTTTCCTTCCTCTGATCATTTAATTATTTCCTCAGATTTGGCTGATTCAGTAAGGGAGGATCCATGGAACGAGGCCGCCAAGAAGCCTTGAAGACAATTTTTCAGAGGAATGGTACCTGAGGTACGGCTGATGGACTGGGCAGAACATTAAAGCAAGAGTGTGTTTGGCAGATCCTAGGGGCTATTCAGGGTCAGTGCAACCACTACCCTGTTTGCAACATCACCTTTTTCCCCATGCTGAACTAGTTTGTCATTATGAAATGTGAGGGGATTTGCTTTCTGAAAAGATTTTGGTAGTTGGTTCCCTAACAACTGTCAAAAGAATAAACAAATAAGTCTTGGAGAAGGTGCAGCCAGGGTACTCCTCACCATGTGCATGGTATTAGGAGAAATCAGGCCTCAGAAAAGGACATTATGCTGAGGAAAGTGGAGGTCAGTGAAGAAGAGAAAGGCCCTCAATGAGATGGATTGACACAGTGACTGTTAGTACAGGCTTAAGTATAGCAGAGAGGATGAGAATGGCACAAGACAGGGCAGAATGCAGGTCTGTTCTTCATAGAGTCACTATGAGTTGTAGTCAACTCAATGGCACCTAACAACAACAAAGGATAGGGTGCTCTAGTGACCTGGTAAGAATTTGTACTGCCAACTCAAAGCACATGGTTCAAATCCACCAACTGCTCCTTGGGAAAAAGATGGGCAGTCTCCTTTCATGGTATTTATAGGTTCTAGAAACCTGATGAAGGGTCAGCTATGAGTTGGTTCTGCCTCCAACTTCCATAACAATCATAACAAAGGATATTTGCTGGAAGCAAAGAGGATGCGAAACACTTATGATCAAGGACTAAGACCTTCAGTATCCTTCAACAGTAAGAAAACACACCAAAAAAAATCACCACTGGACCAATATTATGATAAATGGAGCAAAAATGGAAACTGTCAATGACTTCACATTACTTGGGTCCACAATGGGCATCCACGGAAGCTGCAAGAAATCAAGTGAGGTATTGCAATAGGAAAATCTGCTATCAAGAACTTCTCTAAAGTGCTAAAAGAACAAAGGTGCCTGTGTATAATGTAGGTCTGTCTCAAACCACAGTATTTTCAGTTGCTTCAGAAACATGTGAAAGTTAGACAATGAATACGGAAGACTAAAGAAGAATTGGCACCTTTGAAATGTGGTGTTGGTGAAGAGTATTGATCATAGGATGGATTGCCAAAAAAAAAAAACAAACAAATCTATGTAAGGAACTCTGGTGGCTTAGGAGTAAGAAGCTAGCCTGCAATCGCAAATGCATGTGGTTCTAATCCACCAGCTGCTCTGCAGAAGGATCGGCAATCTCCTCCCGTGTGATCAACAGCCTCTGAAAACCTGCTGGAGGGTCAGCTATGGATTGGTTCCAACTTAATGGCACACAACAACGACGACATCTTGGAAGAAGTACAGCTGGAATGCTCCAGAATACTTTGGACACATTACTAAGAGGGGTCAATCCTAGGAGAATGACACTACGCTTGGAAAAATAGAAGGTCAACAAAGCAGAGGAAGACTCTCAAAGAGATGAGTTGAACCATGGTTATCACAAAGGACTTGAGCACAGCAGAACCAGCAGATGACTCGGGATCAGGCAACATTTCAATCTATTGTATATAGGATCACCAAGAGTTGAAATTTATTCAATAGCATCTAACAACAACAACAAACAGAGTATGGCACAAGATGAGACAGCACCACTATGAGTAAGAGTAAGTATAATAACCCCCAAAACAACACCACCACCACACAAGACAAAATGGTACTTTTCAAGTCATTTCTTATTCAAACATATTTGTCACCTAGAGAGAATGCTCTGTTAGAAGGGGCTTCCTTTCTTTAAAATCTCACTTAGTAGAATCACTTCTGAAATTTTTATTTTCACCTTCATTTTAGCCTCACGCTGAACATAACTTCTTCCTACAAAGGTGAATTAAAGCGCCTAAGCTCTTATTTTCGTTGGTTTTACAATCATTTAGCAATCCATTATCAACCATCCATCTAAGGCCTGAATGGGCAGGGGAGTGGTCCCTGAGGTTTACCAGTGTTACCTCAGGACCCCCAGGACTTCTGCATTTCAATGAGTGAGATGACAAATGACCAGAATAATAACCATCTTGTTTATAGCTGGAGAAAGTGAGAAGCACAGAAGTAGGGACAAAAGAAATCACTGCCGTCACCCAGGGATCCCCAGACGTGCCCTGCCACTACCCCGGTCCTGTGCCATCCAGCTCAGCTCTAAGAGCAAATTCATCTTTCCACACAAAACCTGAAGTTAAAAGCATTATTTTCAGACCTAGATGTTTTAATGTCTTCTTATATTAACTATATAAACAACAAAAAAATACCTTATTGTTAAGAATGAAAAGAAAATATTGAGTGTTCTTTAATTGAGATCTTACTGTTTATTTGATACTTTGTCTTTTTCACTCAATACCATGTTTTGGAGATAGTCTCCTATTAGAACAAACAACTGGGCCCCAGGATTGGAAACAACTGCGTGGATATTTGTGTGTATGAGCACCCAATAGCTTAGTTAACCATTTTTCTTATTTATAGACATTTAGGTTTTTCAAAAAGAAGCCAGTTTTATCTGCTATAACTAAAGGCATTTTATAGCATATACTATTTGATGGGTCTTAATACTCTTTGTCCTTAGAATACCTATCTTGATACTTAAATGAAAGGCCTTAAGAACTGTTGCCAAGTTCTGACTTGCAAGATGCCTTGCACCACTGTTGTGTTTGCAATCGCTCCTTTTGCCATTCCTCTTACCAGCCTGCTCGGTTCCAGCTGCTACTCACCTTCCTTGGCTCAGCAAAGCGGCTGACTTAGCCTGGCCAGGAATCCAAGTACCCTTAAGGCCAAACCATGGCTCAGTTACACACACTCAAATGCCAAAGGGAGCTCATAAGAGTGAAGCCAAAAGGTTCAAGGTCTTTCCCCTCCCCCAGCAAACAGGAAAAGAATCACCTATGAGAAAAAAGCTTAAAGCGTCAGGGCCATTTTCAACAGGATTATGATACCTCCTCTTAAAAGACAGG